TGAATATATTTCTTTTGCTTTACCGACTTCATCCATCATAAACATCAGGCATCCTAATCGATACCATTCATTTCCTTCTCCTATCTCTTGTCGAAGAGAATCAGTGACGCGTTTCAACTGTTCATCATTATCATATGTCAATATCAGCTTGACTCTCCACAAATGATTGTCGATTTGTTCCATTTCACCAATTCGAAAGACAGTATGCATCGAGAAAAGAATCTCTTGCTCATCGGTAAAACGACCGTGTCGTTCGACTGAAGCGAATGGAGCATATGAAACTGAAGTATCGATTCCTATTTCAAATAAAACTCCGATCATATTTATTACCGTTGAATTCCTTTCGGCCCAGGTACTAGCTACTTCTTTGTCAATGCTTGTAGACAAGAAATTATTGAAAGATAATAGACCACCTTCGTTATTTTTCATTTTCTCGAAGTCATTAGTTAACATAGCTTGCCCACAATAAACAACCAATTGTCCTGAATTAATTTTGTTTATATGTAACTGTTCAATCTCTCGATCGAGATCTCTCGAACAAAGAATCCCATCTTAATAATCATTTTCATGTCTTGAGTTCTCAAAGTCTTATTTAAATTTTCATAGATAAAAGAATATTTTGTGTACCAGTAGATGGCTAGGTAACGTCCATAATCTTTTGCGAATTCGTCAATCGATTTCAATTGATTACTGTTGTCGCGATATTGATTATACAAAATTGCAACGAAGTCTTCCATTTCCTTTGCTTTATTGCCGTCTTCCATTTCCAGAAGAATCTCTTTAAGTAATTGAGAATACATAAATGATTGGTCAAGTTCATTTAATTCTTGAATTGAAGAATCAGGCAAAATCAGACTACTAACAATCGTAAAAGAATTATCATAAAGCCTAATTTTGGTATTGAGTGATTCACATATGTGTTCAATTTGAGTAAATACACCTATCACTTTATTACATTGTGAATTCCATAATTGATGATTTGATCGGCAATTATTGAACACATAAATGCATTCTATTTGCGGTATATCTTGCATTAAATGTACGATTTGTTGATCTATATCATCCGACACAATCATAAACATCCTTTTATCTTTGATTTGAGTAACAAAATTAATGCATTCATCCGCATCAGTAAATATATTAGAATTATTGATGACTTGGTGAAGCTGTTTAATGTTATTTTGATAAGCATCATGGGATGTATCATAATTCGAATCCAACCAAACAAGAATAGAATCCTTGGTCATCGACGCGAACGAATAGTTCGACTTGATATTTTTTAATTTTCTTCATTATCTTTAATACGAATATCATTCGTATATAGTATCACGTCAGAATAAGAGATACTTACTGTACGCGACTGATTCGCAATAGGACTTGTTAATTTAGAGAATGCAGAGCTGTCGTTTTCCATTTCATTTAATTATGCACCAACTTTAAACGAACGATCGAAAAAATATTATGCGACAATAACATATAATGTGGTTGATTTCGTGTTGCTTGTGATTCAATACTACTTTTATATATTACAATTGCTCAAGTTTGTTTTTAATCGTTCTGTTTGTTTTTGTTTCTTCAATCTAAACGTTACTAAAATAATTTACTATCAGTACGATAAAAAATTTAGAAATAACTCGAATCCGGCTTTAATTTCTGTTATGGATGACACTGGTTACAGCTATAACAAGCTAACCTACCGAGAAAAGAACAAAATGATTGAGGAACTCTCGAGAATTTTCACATGATTGCAAATTGGGTAATGTAACTTTTGAATCCTTTATGAAAAGGTGATTTCGAAACATAAAGGCAAATGAAAGTTATGTATAATCAACTTGAATTTTCGAAAGTCAACGGTTTGGTCATGAAAAAACAACATAGAAGAAGAAGAAGAAGAAATTAAATCTAGTAGTTGCCTGATTAGAAGATTTTTTTGGCTTCTTTCATGTATTCTCACCTGAGTCGAAGCTGAAAGAATTGTTGTAATTTTATGCAACAAGTCGCTGTATAAAATCACTTCTGAATTACAACAATAAAGAAATTCGTAAAAGATATTATTACAAAACCTTCTCTAACAATTGGACAACAAGATCTCATAGCAATTTCTGCATTGTTAAAATTAGACTTACATATTTCATTTCCTATATTCTAATCTCTTATTCCTGAAGTGTAACTTTTTACTCTGTGCTTAAATTGTGAGTGTGCACATGCAATATATATAATCGGTAGAAGCAAAAGAAATGCTCACTCTCTATATGGAGAATTGTCAGCATTTATCAGGACTCAAATAATAGACAATCATCTTTAATTCAAAAATTAATGTAGAGCAGCAAAGCTTTCGATAGTATACTCGATTGTTCGCTCTTTTTTTTTTCGTTCTAATTTCTACAAAAAGAAGTAAGAATAATTTCGGCTTTACGATGTTGAGAACGAAAAGAAAAAAAACGTATGTTAATTGTAGATCAGAAATATTGGTATAAAGAAACTTTGTTGACCTTGAAAATTTTTCTTCATTTGCATTGTCTTAGTAAAAGAAGATTTGTCCGATGATTTTAAGGTGAAAGAAATGGCACTACTGACAGAGTTATGCTTTATTAAGTCTCTTCATATCATTCTGATAAAAAGCATACAATTATAATTCGAGTGAAGAAAAATAACTTTTGCTTGTATTTCTCTAGAAAGAAAAACTCTAATTGAAACAGAGTTTTTGCATACTCATATTTCACGGCAATATCTCTAAAATTAATTTCTAAATGAGCTGGAATTCGATGTCTGAATATTCACATATCGTCTATATTGACTAACAAAAGAGCTTTCAAACAATGTTGCAAATAACCAAGTTACGACTAACAGAAAACAAAGTCAATAGTTTGCGTTCTATACAAATACCATGTCTCTTATATGGGTAATGGTGGAAAATTTTCATTAAATTGAAACAGACTACCATATACATATAGAGGAAAATTCTTCTATATATTTATACTAGTATATTCTAATATGATGCAATATTTTCATTTTTGAAAATTCTTTCATAAATAGACAAGACTGGTGGCTATCTCTGGATGTGGGTGTGGGGTGTGGGTGTGTGGGTATGGGTGTGGGTGTAGGTGTGGGTGGGGGTGGGGGTGGGGTTGGGATGTGGGTGTGGGTGTCGATGACAAGATAATCCAGACCGACACCCCACACCCACATCCCACACCCACCCACACCCACACCCCACACCCACATCCCACACCCACCCACACCCACACCCCACACCCACCCACACCCACATCCACACCCACACCCCACACCGCCTACACCCCACACCGCCCACACCCCACACCCACATCCGTGAAATTATACATTAAAACCTATCATTTCTTTCCCGTTAATTACCAACTATTTTAGCAGAAATATTGTTTTCGTTATTATTTTTTGATAAACCAGATCAAAATCCTTGCTATGTTTAGTCAAATACTTTTTTTTGATGAAAGATAAAAGTTTTTTCTTTTCATCTCTACAGCTCGCATATATGAGTGGGGAGCGTGAATGTAGGAGAGGGGTGTAGGTGGAGTAGATGTGGGCGTTGCTGTGGTTATATGGATGTGGTGGTTAGTATGACTTGCATCCGCACCGACACTCTACACCCAACACTCACACCCTAGATCCTCATTTAATAAATTTGATTTATCAAGAAAATGAAATAAAGACAAAATAATACGTGCACAAACATCGAGATGAGGGTGACTATTCAATAAAGGTTTTATCATAGTTTTTATGGAACTTGAATCAGATAAATATTGAATTAATAAACGGGAAATATCTTTATTTGCTGTTATACCTAAAAAAACAAAGAGAACAGAAGTGTAATAATCTTTTATTATTATTTAATCTACCTAAGTAGTTTTTCACATTGTTCATTACAAATAAATTCTAGATAAGGTTTTCGAAAGATTTCATTAGTTATTTTACATAAAATACTTAGCATAGTGTTATTGATATATTTAGCATTTTATATATCTAATTTTGTTCGTAAGAAATGAAAATATTTGAGTAAATATTGTAGAGTTAAATGAAATGTTGGTGATAGACGCATATACTATATCATCTAGAGGCTAGACAGCAGCACCACGAATATACCAACTACTAGTCATACTAGAATTCTTTAATGTTACTGATGAATCTTGTTTTTTTAAATTCATTCAAGAGTTTCATTAGGGAGATCATCCATCAATAACGTCCGCAAGTAAAAGGCGAGTCATATGCATCTGGACTTCCAAACACTTCTTACGATTTTTTTGCTTCTTTTACATATATTTCGAAAAATTCTCAAATACGGTTGGTCTTGAGCAGCATTTTCAAAATAGTAACTTGTTGCAATTTTTCAGTCCGTCGTGTATGAAAGGTACATTAGTTGTTCAGATGTCAAAAACGAGTAGATAGTTTACATAGTAGCACTCTCAACTACGATATCTTATTGTAGTGCTGCAAATTTACCAAGAGAGAATGTGAGAGTGCATATGAATGTATGACTTCCCTCTGTTAGACCCACATCCTAAAAAGCCAAAATAATTTTTTTTTTTTCAATAAACCTAAATTTGATGTTTTTGAAACAGTTAATTGAATAGATGTGATTGAATGATATCATAGAAAAAAATTATTTGACAAAAATAATCACAAATCACAAAGAAGCAAAAGAAATTACATCTACGTCGACTAATAATAGAAGGTATGCGAACATTGTTTGTTTTTTTGTATATTTCAAAAAATAAATCGATGCAACATAAATTATTCAAGTTTTAGAAATAAAAAGACAAACAACAACGAGAATAATATAGAATATGGTTACCATAATAACTGCTCAACAGCCATATTTTAAACAGTTATCATTTGAATCCTTTGAATCGAAAGTAAATATCAATGTAATACTTTAACAAAATTATATTTGAAAACTTACTTGAATTCGTATATTTCTATCATTTTGATTTTTAATAATAGCTAATGAATTTTGTTCAGTAGAATCACAAGGAACCATGATATGATTTATTACATTTTTTATCTTTTATACATGAAAAATCTTCTTGTAATAATGTTGGAAATGCTTTTTCTTTAATAAAAGCTTTACGTATTGGATTCATAATAAGTAAACGTTGAACAAACCAAGCTAGTTTTGCATAAGTTGGTGAATCAAATGAACATGATACACAATTTTCATTGCAAATTATTTTACCACAAACTTCAAGTCTATATGTTTGTTGAATTTTTGTTAATATTTCATCCGATGTTTCACCAATCAGAAATGATACTGGATGGTCAAAATCGATTGATAATAATTTTTCAGTAAGTTTTACACCTAGCTCATCCTTAAGAACATTTTCAAATGTCATTCGATTCATATAAAACCAATTGTCCATTATTATTGATAAAAATATTGTTTCTCGACAAATAATTTTTCTTATGAAAACAGATGTTAATAAGAAATGAATGATATCTGTAAGTTCATCATGCTATTTATATGCTCATTTGAACAATGAACGTCCGGCCATTCTGGCATAGCTAAATGAGTCGAATAGACCATGTTAACTGTCTATTGTTGTCAGGTTTCATAGCTATTCAATCGGCAAATTAGAGGTCACACTGTTTCTCTTAATATGCTTTTATCGGTGAATGACCCAATTTTCCTTTAGCTGATATTCCATCGTGTGTACAGAAGAACTTGGTAACTGAGATTTTTTCAAGGAAAAAGCACTTTTTCGGTTCAATCCTATGCCTTCATCCACACGCAGTGCTGTGCTACCCAGAAAAACCGAAAAATGACCTTTCTTCCCTTAAAAGATTTAGTTACAAAGTTCTTCTGCGTATACGATGGACCACCAGCTAAAGGATTACGCTCTGATTTTCCTGTATTGTTTTATGTTTATTTCTATTGGCTAAATTTTTTTTATTCAAATAAAAAATACTTTTCTAAATCGTTAACACTACAAAATCTGTACTGTTAATTAGTTCGATTCGATTCAATGTTCTTCAGATTCTTCTCGGTTTCGACTAGGTTTAAATTTCGAAAAATCTGAACTAATCTCATCTTTAGTATGCAGAAGAACTGTTACTAACTTATTGTGTTTGTTTTTCTTTTTTTTATTTATTAAAGGGTTTGGGTGTAGGTGAAAAGAAGACGCACACCCACATCTTCAAGCCGTTGTAAGTGATGCTTAATTGATATATGCAGACATCTTTTCAATGGACCCAATGATATCACGACATCAACAAGTACATCAGTGAATTCTTTGTAGAACTTATTTCATGAATCATCCACATTTAGCTGCGCATTTGACAAAATTATTTTGAATTGCATAACTTGAAACGGGATTTTGAAATTTCTTGTGTTAACTTTATGGTTTTCCGTTTCTGTTCTCATTCTTACTTCTGTAATTGCAACACATGAAAATATTTCTTTCTATATAGATCTAATGTTCTGTTATGTGTGGGGTCGGCAGATGTCGAGTCAGCTACTTCATAAATTCTGTTGGGATGAATATAACAAAAGAAAATTAAAAAATTGGAAAAAAAAATCAAAAATATAATAAAATTGGGAAAAAAAACATCAAAAAAATAATAAAATATTAAAAAAGTCAAAAAAAATTATAAAATATTAAAGAGAACAAAAAAAAAAGAAAATGATCTGCAAAGTTCTACTTCGAAAAATTTGTGAATCTTTCTGTGGTTCACAATCATGCCTTGGGATAAAGTATTTAAAATAAACTGCTGGCGCGAACCGACTCTTTTTTTTCAATTCTTATTTTCAATTTTCATATTTAAGTTTTCGTTTTTCATCTATTTAAACTACTTCACGAAACAAAATATGAAAAAAAGAAACAGACTGTAACGATATCAACGAGAAAATCTTCCAATGCATAAACTATTCTATATTCATATGATCAGTATCTCAATATCATTAAGACGTATAAACAAAACTCATTAAAATCAAAAAATTAGCGAAATCATTAGAAAACTTAAAAAGAAAATATAAAATTTTATATTATTAGTCTTCAGATTTAGCGGTTGGAATACGTTGTAAAACACTTTTTTTTCAAGGATGGTCGAAGGTCTAATTCTTCTCTCTATTCACATTTAGACCATCAACCAGGTAACAAATATAATCGACCTGGTAACCAATCGATTTCGTAATGAACTAATTAATTATTAAATATTATGTTAAACATAGAGATGATCAGTTTTGATTCATACTCTTTTTCGGTTATCAATTTATTCAGCTATATTGACATCGATGACAAGTATGATCGGTGAATATGTTCATTCAACTGATGAAATCGAGGTAAACACTACTGATTTAAAACTCTACTCCTCTTTTTTTTAGTTTCTAAAGGCAAAATGAATTAGTTTTTCTATTCAATTGTATTCATGAATATAGTTTTTTGAATACAGAATATACATTAACTTTTAAAATTCAAGCAAGTTTTATTAGAGCTGACTACTTTTTGAAGAAGAAGAGTGTGAATGTGGATGTAGTTCTTCCTGACACCCACATGCACACTCTTCCCTTGTTAAGATGCTTAATTTTAAGAATGTTAGCGTGGGGTGTGGGTGTAGGGTGGGCATGGGTAAGCGTGTTTCACTTATTTGAGGAACAAAAAATACATCCCCACCATCCAACTCCAAGTCATTTAGTTCTTTTCAAATATGTTGCGTTTCGGTTCACACAAGGTAGTTTCTCCTACCATGACACAATCTTTGTTTAGCAGACAACTGATCCAAAACTGACATTTTTTATGTGAAACAGTATGCTTAATTTTCACCAACTTAGTTCAATGATAATATTGGCTGTGAATAAAAAGATTTTATTCAATATGATAACGTACTGTCTCTTGAATGATGTTGATCAAATTGCTTTACATAGATAACGACGTCAAATGATGATGAACCTTGTTCGAAATTTTCTAAATGATAATAAGCAGAATTCGGACTTTCTCTCCTATTTGCAAATTATGTCATATGAGTTCAAACGTTGAGAAAATCATTTAATTATGATTTCTATCTGTCAATAATGAGGTTGAGTGTATTCCATCAAATGAAAGTATTCGAATAGATAAAGAATTGTGCTTTCTTTGCTTTTAAAGGGCTTAAGTCAAACTGTAAAATATTGTCTTTCAGTTAATCATTGAATATCTTAGAAGAACTAGTCAATCACTTTTAAACCTAGTTTATGTTTAATCTTCAATAGCACTATACCATACAGGACTACGTAAATATGTGCATGAGCCACTGCAGTGTTACTCAACTCAAATATCGATACCATGACAGAACGAGCATTATAGTTCACAACAGGGCGTTATTCATTTAACAAAGTAGTCAATCGTTTTTTGACATTTATTATCAATCCTCATTTTTAGAAACCATGACTATGGTGTTCGACTGATTTAGTTGAAAATCATCATTCAATGATTAATTATTATACGCTTTGTAATATGATTGTTGTTCGATCGTTAAATGATGAAAAGTCATAAATTGCTCTTCTTTTTTTTCTTATTAGTCTATGTTTTCAGAAAGAAACGTTTACTAATACGTCTTCAAA